TCTGAGCTAAGAACCATATCTGCTTTTGGATGTGATAAAAACCATCAACTTGTACACTTCGTTTGTCACACTTAGCAGCTTTTTGGCCAATAATGCCACATAAAAAGCAAAAGTCAGGAAGTCTCTCATAGGTGAGGAAGAGCTTCTCAATCTTCCTGGTCTCTTCAAAGCAAACATGTATGCCTCTTTTTAGAGGCTTAGTAATATCCACGAGAATTCTCAGCCGCATCTTGCCTCTTTTTAGAGGCTTAGTAATATCCACGAGAATTCTCAGCCGCATCTTGTTATCCCGCAAATCAATCCCTTTAAGTTCTCCTATAAGCGAGCCATAGTCTCTGGCGCACCTCTTGTTCATCGCAGCCAGTGGTACATTCTTAACGTTTACCCAAAATAAAGTTGAAGAGAAATTCAGAGAAGTTAGAGCACCGACCCCACGAGGAACAATCAAATTGAGCAAGTTCCTTTCAAAGCATCATGATCCACCATCAAGCACTTTCTCGTTATCTGAATCGGAACTGAATCTGAAAAGAAAAGTATTTCTTCCATTGTAATGTTCCACCTGGAATGGGGCATCTACAATCCATACCTTCCTAAGGACACGCTCAAGACCATCTCTATTTTTAGAATCTGATAGTAAGTGTTTATTCCACTGAGCCAGCTAGAGTGCGGTTAGATGTAGTAGTTGCGAGGGTTTTTTAAGCATCTTATGAAATACATTAAGAGTATTTCTTTTTGTAAAATAATTACTCTTGGTGTAAGACCAAAATGATAATAATAATAATTACCCTTGATGTATTGATTGATGCAAAATAGAAAATATTTAAGTAAAATGATTAAAATTGTCCATAAGTAATATGTATAAACTACTTTAGCTACACTTTCAGTAAATAACATGGGTGATACAGATATCATAACCATAATAGATTTATTGATTATATATACCTTTTGTGGTATGTCATGGATAGCAAAATATGATCAAGGGAAAATTGTGTCAATGCCCCAAAATTAATAACTTCACGTGACTTGGCCCCTCCTACTTTTCCTCATGTGTTGCAACCCCTAAATTACAGATCTATGTGATTAAGTCCTTTTTCATGTAATTCTTATACCAACTAAACATAAAGAGAGAGAAACAAATATAAAAACCCAAAATACCATATTCCTTCTCTCTTTCTTCTCTCTAGATCTAAATCTGGTCCTACTTCCTCCTCTCCTATCCTCCTCTCTCCTAACCCATTTACTTCCTCCTCTCTCTCTTCCTCCTTTTTTCTATCAAACACCGACATCCCCCTCTGTCGCCTTTGACCTTGCGTGCACGCTCCGGCCATATTGTTCGCTCATTTTCTCCCATTAAGTTTCCCCGATCTCTCTTTTTTCCCCAAAACTAAAAAATGCCTAATTTAAATCACGTCAAGTCTAATTTAACTTGTTTTAAGTCTAATTTTATATTAAGTCCAATTTAATTTTATGTTAACTCCAATCTACTTTCTCTTAAGTCTAATTTTAATTATGTTAAGTCTAATTCAACTTGTTTTTAAGTCTAATTTTATGTTACTTCTAATTTAGTTCATGTTAAATCTAATTTGATTCATATTATAAGTCCAATTTAATTTCATAAACTGAAAATTAAGCTTAACATGAGCTAAAAAATAGACTTAACATAAACTAAAATTAGACTTAACATGAACTGAAATCAGAATTAACATGAACTGAAATTGGACTTAACATGAATTAAATTGGACTTAAAATGAAATTAGAGTTAAAACAAGTTGGACTAGGCTTAAACAAGAACTGGAATTATACTTAACATGAACTAAAATTAGACTTAACAGGAACTAAAAGTAGACTTAACATGAACCAAATTAGACTTAATTAACATGAAATTAGACTTAACATGAACTAAAATTAGAATTAATATGAACTAAAATTAGCCTTAATTAACATGAAATTAGACTTAACATGAACTAAAATTAGAATTAATATGAACTAAAATTAGACTTAACATGAATCAACTTGGATTTAACATGAAATTAGATTTAAAATAAATTGAACTGGACTTAACATGAACTAGAATTAAACTTAATATGAACTAAAATTAGACTTAACATCAACTGAATTTAGACTTAATATGCATCAAATTAGACTTAACATGAAATTAGACTTAAAATAAGTTGAATTAGACTTAACATGAACTAAAATTAGACTTAATATTAACTAAAATTAGACTTAACAAGAACTGAAATTAGACTTAACATGAACCAAATTGGACTTAACATGAAATTAGATTTAAAATAAGTTGTATTAGACTTAACAGGAAATAAATTAGACTTAACATAAACTAAAATTAGACTTAACATGAACTAAAATAAGATTTAATAGGAACTGAAATTAGACTTAAGATGAATCAAGTTAGACTTAAAATGAAATTAAACTTAAAATAAGTTGAATTAGACTTGATAGAAAACAAATTAGACTTAACATGAACTACTGATTGACTTAACATGATTTAAATTAGACTTAAATAATTTAAATTAGACTTAAAATGATTTAAACTGGACTTAATATGAATTAAACTGGACTTGACAGATCCTTCGACTAGAGCTCCGATGAATTTGAGGGTTTTTTTTATTTGGGGGTGAAAGGAAAGAGAGAGCAGGGAAAATTAGTGGGAGAAAAGGAGCGAACAACATGACCGGAATGACGGAATCATGTTAAGTCTATTTCAACTTATTTTAAGTCTAATTTCATATTAAATCCAATATGATTTATGTTAAGTCTAATTTAATTCATGCTAAGTTTAATTTAATTCCTTTTAAGTCTAATTTTAATCATATTAAATTCTTTTTAAGTCTAATTTAAATTATGTTAAGTCTAATTCAACTTGTTTTAAGTCGAAAAACAAGTTGAATTAGACTTAACATAATTTAAATTGGACTTAAAATGATTAAACTGGACTTAACATGAATCAAACTAGACTTAACATGAACCAAACTGGATTTAACATGAACCACACTGGACTTAACACGAACCAAATTAGACTTATTATATAATACGTTACACTTAATATTCAACAAATTAGACTTATTATTCAACCCAATAGACTTAACATACAAGACCTTGGACTTCACTTCTAACCCATTAGATTTAATATTCTACCTTGGACTTGAACTTAACATAAAAAATTATTCAAAAAATCACATTGAGCCGGTATATCTTTAAATCTTTCATCTTTCCACGATGTTCAAATAAAAATTATAAATTTCTTTAAAAAAAACCGATAGCTTGGATGTTTTGTGGAACTTGCGGCAACATCTAGCTCCTTCTCGTCCTCCTCTGCACCGCCTCCTCCGTCGTGTTCTTCGCCACCTCTTCGCCTTCAATGTCGGGAGAAAACTTAGTAGGAGAAAAGGAGCAAACAATATGGCCGGAGGGTGCACGCAAGGTCGGCGACGGCGTAGGGGGATGTTAGTGTCTGAGAGAAAAAAGGAGGAGGAAAGAGATAATGAAGTAAATAGGTTAGGAGAGAGGAGGAGAGGAGAGGAGGAAGGATGACCAGATTTAGATCTGGAGAGAAGGAAGAGAGAGGAGGAGGAGATTATTTTGGGCTTTTATATTTGTTTCCCTCTCTTTATGCTTAGTTGACATGAGAATTACATGAAAAATGGACTGAATCACATAGAACTGTAATTTAGGGGCTGCAACACATGAGGAAAAGTAGGAGGGGCCAGGTCACATGAAGTTATTATTTTTGGTGCATTGACACAATTTTTCCTATGATCAATGCTAGCATAGATAGCAAGACATAACAAAAGAGCTGCTTGAGACTAGCCATTGAACTCCAACTCCGAGTCCTTCCGGTGACTCCTAAACGAGTCAAGAACAGCGATAGTGTCATCATCCGAAAATATGCGTTCACCCTCCAATAACTAAATCTCCTTTTATTTCTGCTTAAAGGGTTTTATTATTTCATTATTATCTTGTGAATCTCTTTTACAAGCAAGAAATAACAGGGGAGTTAAATGCAAAAGTTGTTGATCCTTAAAATCTTGAGGATTCTTCAGAGAAGTTAAGACTCCGATTAAGACTTTTTGTGTACGTGAGAGAAAGAGAGAGGTATGCTCTATCCGTTGGCACACAGTGTAAGAGCGCAAAAGCGACGTGGTCGTTTCTCCGTTTCTCATTCTTGGAGGCTGGTAGCGTTATCCGTAGTCCAATGCTCCGTTGGCTGGCAAATCACCATCAATGTCCTTGACCTCTTGGTTGTTAACGGGCCGGGTATCAAGTTTTTTTTAGGTGGGGTCCAGGTCTCTATTTTATCTTTTAAAATCACTAAGATATTGGATTAGAATTTCGTACAAAAATATCTCAAGTAACGAAAGTAGGCACATATATCATCAAGTACAACAAACCAAATAGACTACAACAGCGTATCATGGCAAAAAATGGAACCCGAACAGAGTCTAATTAATTGCTGCGTGCCCATAAAAAAATCCATTCAAAAGTGTAATAGGTTATGTGCGCTAGTTTTTTGGCACATGCGTTATATGTGCACATTATGTGCCTGCAAATAATATAGCAGCGAAAATGATTTTTTTTTTTTACATCAAATAAAATTATTTATGTTTTCCAAGGTTGAGGACCTTGTATACGGTGTGTTTGAATAAGCGAGGAACTTCGTCATTCTATGTTATGAATTAATTACGTATATCGAAAAGCCATTGTTTGGTATTTACGTACAAACGCTTCTGCACTTTTCCATTAAAATAGAATTGACAGTAGTAAACGAGCAAAAAATGATTTTTTTAAGTCTCTTCTAATTTATGAATTTTATTTATCTCGTAATGGGCCTGTACAAACTAAACTAAGATGCATAGAGCTGGGCACGAGCCGCACGACCCAGTATTCAGGGCCCATTTCTAGAATTCCTCAAAGATTCCAGATTGAGCTTTCATGACACTACCAAACCCCCTCAAAATCATTACATCCCGAAAACTATAACCATGGCGTCCTCGGGCGTCGCCCCGCCGAGCATTTCAAACCCTAAGCTCCCTTCTGCTGCCGCGGCCTCAGCCGCTTCCCGAGAATCGAGGCGAACCACCTCCTCCTCGGAGCGCGGCCTGGCGGCCCCGCCAGCACTCCATCCTCAGCTGCGGCCCCGCTCGCTCCGCGCGCGTGCGTCCGCCTCCGGCGACGGAGGGGAAGAGGGGGGAGCGTCTGCCGAGGCTAGAACGAAATCCGTGAGCTCTCCAGACCCACCGCCTGTTTGTTTTATTTCCTCTTTTGGAATCGCCATCGCTCTGCTCGGTGTTGAATGCTTTTGTAGCGAGATTTTTTTTTATTTTTTCAGTTGTAAAGTCCGTGTATTGTTTCTGATGGTATCGTTTCTGATTATAGTAGAGTGATTGGGATTTTTAAGATAGGAAACTTAGAGAAATGTTTTTAGGATATGAAGAGTTCCTATTAGTTTAATTGGGTGAATCGTAATATATGGACAATGTGTAGATCACGGCGAACGGTTTGGATAATTAGTATGGACGATGTAATGTGTATTCTCATTGGAAGTTGTAAACGTCTAAGTTACACCCTACGTTAGTAAGAGCACCATAAGAGCGACCTCTATGAGTGTGTTCATTTCTTATCCCATCTCTTAGTGTATATTCCACATGTAAATTGTAACACTATAGTGTTTGTGTGCGTGCACCTGCGCGCACACGCTTAACACCCGACACATGTATGAAGGTCTAGTAGCTTATACTTGAAATCTTCAAATAGTTATTGTGCACAACTCTGAAGGCTAAAGTTTTGCTACAGGGACCCAAAATATGAGACCAATAGGGGGGACACGTGAGGTGTCCCCCTCCTATTGGATAATGAGTTGGCCATCCTCATTATCCAATAGGAGGGGGACACCTCACTTGTCCCCCCTATTGGTCCCATATTTTGGGTCCTTGAGAAAATTTTCATCCCGTAATTATCACTTCACGGATACCACTTATATGTTGGGTTCCTTGTCCTCCTGGTATTCATATATCATACAACGTATCCCAACTTTTTAGGATCCGCTAAATGAATCCTACTTTTCCATTCGTTTCTATCACGGGTCATCTGCACCGTAAAGTTAATTGCTATCATAATCTTAATTGCTTGCAACCAAGTCCTTTAAGGTCTACACCTAGCCCTCTTTGGCCTTTTTACTGTAACCTTTCACTTCTCCTAAGTGGTGCATTTAGTAGCCTCCGTTGAACATGATCAAACCATCTCAATTGATTTTCTCTTATTTTATCCTCGGGGCAACCTTTAACCTCCTACAAATGCATTTCTTATCCTATCCTTTAGTGTATATCTAGAAGACCATTTTAACTTTCTCATTTCCTTTACACTTATTTTTTTTAATTTCTATGTTGTGTATAATGATTGCATTATATTTCTGCTATTCTTCTTCAAGTCTTTTTGGTGTGTACTTCAAATTATTCGCGAATTGGTTTGTTGTCATATATTTATATTAGTGCTCTCTTCTCATTTGAGTTTCGCAACCTGATATCAAACAACATCTGGTGTTATTACTTTCTGTCAGGAATTTGAGACGCCTAACAGAAATGTTAGTTCTGGAGAAGGCTATGTCGGTCTATTTGTACGCATGCTCGGTCTGGACAATGATTCTCTTGATAGGGAGCAAGCAATAATAACACTTTGGAAATATTCTCAAGGGGGTAAAAGTTGCATCGATGGGATCATGCAGTATTCTGGCTGCATTAATCTTGTCATCAGCCTTCTGAAGTCAGATTCATGTGCTACTTGTGAAGCAGCTGCTGGGCTTTTAAGGACCGTGTCCTCAGTCAACTTATATAGAGATATTTTATCTGACAGTGGAGCAATAGAGGAAATATCCTCTCTCCTATGCCGTTCTCCTTTGACGTCAGAGGTATATAACAATGTTTGCTAAATAATTTCATCATTATAGCTTCTTGAGAAGTATTGTTAATGTTCACACATCACATATTTATTCAGGTGAAGGAGCAAAGTTTGTGTACCTTATGGAACCTATCTATTGACGAGAAACTGAGAGTAAAGCTAGTAAACAATGAGTTCTTACCTGTGCTTGTCAAGTTTCTTGATGATGAGGACATAAAGGTTAAAGAGGCTGCTGGCGGAATTCTAGCAAATCTATCCTTAAGTCCTTGCTGTCACAGCTTATTGGTAGAAAATGGCGTGATACAGAAACTAGTGAGTTTTACTTTTATCATACGCACACTTCCTTTTTTCAAGTACAGTGATGGCTGATCATGATGGACACTTTGTAAATTTCCATTTCATATTTCATATGCAAAGCTAAACAAGATGCGTTTAAGAATATATACGTATACATATAAACATTTACATAATAACACACACACACACACATTTATACTTATATTTATGTGTGTTTGTGTGTCTACACACACTGCGACTAGATACATGCATACATATGTACATAGATAGGTTGATGCATACAGACGTACATGCATGCCTACATGCATACATAGCGCATGAGGCGGCAATTCATTTTGCTAATGAGCTACCAAGAGATAGATTAGTGGCGAGACTAACCGTGCTAGTCAGACTGGGAGGTTTGGGCCTCACCATTTTCTATCTTGTGCTATATGTTTGCTCATAGCATTATTGGTTAGTTGATTGATTCTCTGGGCTTCCCCTTTTGCAGCCCAATAACTAATATCAAATTTGCAGGCAGATATTTTAAAACGGAACGTGGAGGACTCTAAAGTTCTTCGAAAAGAAGCAAAAACCACACTGCTGGAACTTGCTAAAGATGTGTACTATAGAATTTCTATAATGGAGGAGGGTCTAATACGGGTCCCTATTATTGGTGCTTCTGCATACAAATCTTTCAGATCTCCATCACACTCCTGGCCTTCTTTACCTGATGGCACAGAGCTTCAAAGGAGTTCTCGTCCTTCAAGATACGGTGCTACTGAACTCCTTCTTGGTTTGAATGTACGTGAGAAAAATTCCAGTTTGGAGGAAGCTAAGATGAATGCCATAGTAGGACGATCTCAGCAGCAATTTCTTGCAAGGATTGGGGCTATAGAATTGGAAGATGTAAGCAAATCTACAACTACACCTTCATTAAATCAACAGTATACAATCTTGCCATGGGTGGATGGCGTTGCTCGACTAGTTTTGATTCTTGGACTTGAAGATGTTTCGGCAATTACAAGGGCTGCTTCTGCAATTGCTGATGCATCAATAAATGAACACATGAGAAATGCATTCAAGGAAGCTGGAGCCATTAAACCTTTAGTTCAGCTATTAGGTCATGATAACGAGTCTCTTCAAGAAGCTGCAGCTAATGCCCTTGAGAGGCTGTGTGTCAGGTTATTTAAGGTTTTCTTTTTTGCACTTAATCCATCACATAGAACCATCTATTTAACTCTTATAAGTGACTAGACATCTGATTTCTCATTCACAGTTCTCATTTTGTTTCTTTATTTCCTGCAGCCATGAAATTTGCCAGACAATTGAATTAGAAGGTGTCTTGAGTCCTCTAGCTACCATACTCAAGAATGCAAATACATCAAAAAAATTATTGGAAAAGGTTTTTCTTGGACATGAAACTATATGTACATCGTACATCATATAAAATGTTATTTATTTTGTTTCTTAATTTTTTTATTGTTTATTTTTTCACTCTCAGGCTGTGGGCATACTTTTTCAAATTTTTGACCTGGGCAAGGACATGAAAAGAAAGGTGAGTGAGGCCATATACTTTCATGTTGGTGATAACCGATGCTTCATTAATTGACATCTTTGGTGGTAATTCTTCCAGAATGGTAATCAAGTGATCAATGGATCAAGTGGGAAGCTATATGCTACAAGCAATTCCAAGCAAAATGGTATATTGAAAACTGTGGATGGCATATCACTATCAGAAGTGGCAGAGAGGTCCATTCAGATCTTTCTTCTGATTATTTTTTAAACGTACTATTACTATTAAGAACTTAATCTTCTTAAACTTGCTACTAGATTTGTTATGATCTCATTTTAACAATTTCAACTTCGGATGGGAATTCAATCGACCAATTTCAGGGAAGATATCATTCATGCTTTATCGTATATATGAATGCCTAACTAGCTTAGGGGCATTCTTAAGTAACAAAAAAAAAATCTTGGTGATTGAATTATTTTGGCTACAAATTAACTTTTTGTTTTTTTTATTCTTCAACTGCTTGATTTTAGGTTAAATTATAGAAACTAGCACGAACTTGTTTAGCTTCGTATTGGACTATTATGAACTTCTTAGATTACAGAAAACTACTAGCAGGCCTGTCAGTGATTGTAATGCAGTTTTCAACAGCGTTCGAAACTTTTGAAACCGTGCCAAACATTGTTATATGTATTCCCTGTGTATGGTATATCAAGCAACATCCAGACTTCCTTCACAGAGACCGAGCTTAGTGTAACTTAATGATGTTTTCATTACTCTCCGGTTTTATTAACATCATATGTTGTTATTGTGGTGCTTAGCATGTAAGCAGTGTCTACTGTTATATGCAGTTCGAATATGAATCTTAGCCACCCAACATGGGTTACATATACAGATACCTTAATGTATTGGATTATATACAATCTTTCAGATGTTGCATCATCAGCTCGTCACTGCTGATCCTCTTCCTGGCTTTTTCATGAACTACTGTTGTCCATTTGAAATTTGATCATTGTTCAATTTGGCTGGTATTTGGGTTATCTCGCGTATTATGGTCATCAGTGTTAAGATGGAATATATTTATGTGTACTGCATATTTATGGTGCACACTTTTAATGCATATGCATTTTTAGGATGTGATTTAGGTGGACATAACATAATTGAGTACATAATGAAACTTTCATTCTCTTCTTTTTTTTATTGGACTTATTGGACTGAGACTTATCTAAATCTCTAGGAAGAACATTATCGACTCAAGTATAATATCACTCCTCATTAACATGTTGCGGACATCACCTCCAACTTGGCAAGTAAAGGCTGCTTCAATTCTTGAATACATAGCAGCCTCTGAGTCCCACGCAACTATGATTTCTGCATCGGATATTGAGGCAGGGCTTGATGATGTTCTTCAACAAGCGTCTTCAGGAGGTATGTGGCATTTTTATCATTCTGCATATGGAAATTTCAACCGATCAAGTGCCTGCATTACTTGTGTATTTTTATGATTCCTATTGATTGTTGTATCTATCATATTTGAAGTATACATCTGCCCATTCTCATGACTTAATTTGATCTATCTGGACTGTTTTTGTATTTGTTAAAGTTGTCTTATATTTGTCGTCTTTTAGCTGGTTATCATTTTGTCACTATCTCAAGAATGAAGCATTGAAGATCGTAACTTCTAAGAACTTCCAATAGGTTGCTAAGAAAAAACAATAACAACAATAACACAAGCTTTTATCCCAAATTTTTGTTGTTCCACTTTGTTCTGTTATGGGTTATCTCCTCCGATAAATTAACCACTATCATATCCTTATTGTTTTCTTGTTGAGAAAAGAAAGGAAAAAAATCTTTTGCAGTTTGAATGCTTGATCAAGTGTTTGCTTCATCAAAGCCTAAAAGAGACATTTTTATATATTTATTAGATTATTTATTTTCATCAGGCTTAGTGGCCTTTGTTGATGACATTACCGAAGCTAAAATTGTCTGGGTTGCATATTTCTTCATTCAGGATTATTAGGGTGTGTTTGGCAAACTACACAAAATTGGGCCAAAGAAAACTGGTTTAGTGGCCAATTTTGGGAATTGGGCGAGCTCTAGCCCTCTCATTTGCCAAACAAGAAACCACTTAAAATTGGGCCAGGATCAGTCTTGGCCCAAATTTACAAGGTTGCCATTTTATCACAGTAAGCATAGCAAGAGGTGGAGTGAGATGTGAAAAGACTGTTAACGCCTTTGCAGTTATACTATCTTGAAATTTATCTTTTAGTCCTGCTGTCTTCCTCCGTATACCGAATTAAGTCCCTGAGTAGTATGATGCAATAAACACGTCTTTGATCTCAATGCTCTATATCTTTGAGCAGGCACAGAAGATAACATCGATGACCAGTTCGAGTTGGATCCTGTCAGAGCTGAAGAAATTGGTCTTGCTATAGCAGCAGCAGCAAGGCTACTGACGAAACTGTTAAACTTGGAGCAATTTCGCAACAAAATAGATTCTGCTCGTTTCATACTTCTATTAAGGAACATTCTCAAGTCTGATATACCTCTTCATTCCAAGAACTGGGTAGCTGCATGCCTAGTAAAGTTAGAATCACTAGCCCACTCAGAAATCAAACTGGAAAAGCCAGTTGACATGGAGGTAACCATTTATGAGACAATACCTAGACTCTTAGAGCAGATGGAAAAATCATTTTCTCTTGACAACCGAGAAGCTGCTGCAATTGAATTGAACCGGGTTGTCTCTAGAGGCGGAGTAGAGTGCACTAGAGCTGTAGCTAATGCTGGAGGGATATTTTCATTAGTGAAATTGCTTGAAGAGGGGACTGGTGAAGCATTGGAAGCTACCCTGGCTGTGTTATACAACTTAGGAATGGACAGTGAGAATCATTCAGCGATGATTGCAGCTGGAGCTGTGCCTTTATTGAAGAGGATAGTTCGATCAGAAGGGCCATATTGGACTCGTGCACTGAATCTGCTGAGATGTCTTCCGACTTGAGCTATTGCAGTAGGATGATTGTTATCCTTCTTGAATTAATTGTTCGAACATGTATTACATAGGATTAATTGGCAGATAGACCCCATGTAAATTTGAGAAGCTCAATCATGTTACAGCGTGCATTTATTGGTATCAGATTTAGACGGATATAGACAGGCTATTACTGTTGATTTTGACACATATCTCCTTCAACCGTTGAACTTTTGGAACAAGCTGGATTCTTTTTGGAGCTAATGAAGTCTGCTTTCAAACTATCATCTTTTGCGACAAGACAGGTTAATAGCCTAGTGGTTGCTCTTTGACGTTGCTTGTACTTCCCCTTCCATCAAATGCTTGTGCTTAAAATTTTCATTTAATAAAAAAAAAACGCTTGTTTCTTTCTCATATCATTAAGTAGGTAGAATGAATGGATTAAAAAAATTATAATAAATTGCCTAAGTCTACATATTCGAACAGCAAAAAACTAAGGTTTAAAATGTTAAAATCATGATGAAAGGATGTTCAATTGGTAAGTCACAGCTTGCTTGTTTTGGCCATTGGCTTCTCGCAATGCACAGAAAATCAAAATCCATATAAAATTGCAGGAATTTTTAATGATATTGATTAACTTGCGCTGATCAAATTTACACGCTTTGTTGCATCCGAATAGAGAAAATATTATTCCAAATCCGTGTAAATTAATCTTCCATGCTAATTGGGTAGGCAGACCTTCTGATGTAGCAAAGGAATCCAAATAGTAAGAGTGTCACTATTATACTATCATCATGGAAACTATATTATCTGTATCCAAAAGAATTATCCAAACCCAAACAAATAGGGTCTATTAATTTGGCAACTTATGAGTTAATCAGATTAGGATTAATCCTGGTTGATTCTTATTCTAACCAAGTTAGGAACAAACCAAGAGAAATGTTTGGTCCAAAACAAAACTGATTTAAGGGTCAAATTTCGGCCCAAAGAAAGGATAGCCTAGTTTTTGTCGAAAACAAAACAACCCAAAAGATTAATGCCAACCAGAGGGGGACGAACAGTGCATCATCCAACCGGAGGGAGACAACTCATCTGTCCCCCTTGGGTCCCCTATTTGGGGTCCCTGTAGAAACGCCCCTGCTAGTCCGATCTAGACTAGCTCTGAGCTAGCACTCAAGTCGCCAGATTAAGCTTGATCTGAATCGGTGCTCAAGTTTGCCAAAATGACCCGTCAATTTCTGCAGGGTACTCGGAACCCAACCCCACAGATTTGATGGAACTGGAGCTTGAAATATAGGACAAAATTTTCAAGCGATTCCTTGCTCATTAGCTCTCCAGCGTACGCATACGCTCTCCAACGGAGCACACGCCTGATGCCAAGTGTGACGCTAAGAGAGAGCCCCAATGACAAGTGGCAATTTCATTGATACTTCCTAAGTTTCTCCCCCCTCTCTATAAAAACACAAAATAAGTAACTCATTCTAAGTTAAAGTCTTAATCAGACCAAAATGAACGAAGAGAGGAATGATAGAGGAGGGACGAGGAAGAGGAGATTTGTTTCTCTGGGCAGAGCTTTGAAAGAGCACAAGGGTAGGCTCTACATCATTCAGCGTTGCCTCCTCATGCTCCTCTGCTCTCACGATTGATGCAAATATTTGTTAAGTTGGCATCTTTGATAGTTTGAGGTGGAGTTTTGGTTTGGATTACTCTTTTCAATGTACATAGCGAGCTTGAGAGTGGGAATGAGATTTAGTGTATAACTTGTTTTGTTTTAAATTTCATTTACTAATGTTTTGGCCCTTTGACCTGTAAAGTTGTAAGCAGCTGTAGTGGCAAGTAAAAATGTTCTTGCTCATTATGAGCATTTTCAAACTCAAAAATTCATTTTAGAGGGCTCAAATCCCAAATAAGTGGGCTGTTGGGGTTTATTCGTTCAATGTGATCGGCATTGAAGCATTTTCAGCGAAAGAATTTTGAGTACTTTCTCGAACATTTTACAGCTTATTCTTCTAAGAAGAACGATGTGAAGCAAATCCCACGCTCTCTCTATTGACAGTAGATAATCTATTGGCAGCCTAGTTTACGAACTAATTTTGTTGTTTTCAGGAGAGAAGTTATTTCATTAGCAAAAAAGCTCTTTAAGAGAAGGAAGAGAAAAAGAATTAAGAGGTAATTGCATATTAGTCCCTTAAACCATTCTTAATCGCTAAATAGTCACTCAAATCTCAATATTTACTTATTAGTACCTCAAACCTTCAATTTCCTTAAACCCGATATCAAACGGGATGGTGAGATTATAAGTGCTATTGTTAAATAAGAGTAGGAATATAACATGAAATCCAACCATTTTCGTTTGACTTAACATAAGTTCACCATAACAATTAACATCACATAACAAGAGGAACGGATCTGTAATACAATTAAAGGTGGAGGGGCTAATAAGAGAATACTGATTACAATTAAAGGTGGAGGGGGTAATAAGAGAATACTGAGATTTGAGGGACTGTTTTGCAATAAAAGATTATGTAAGGGACTAGTATGCAATTGCCCAAGAATTAATTGCCAAACCATGCTAAATAGCAAAGATTCTTGTATTATGAAGGATTTTATCATTTCTGGGCTGTCTTGTTGTGCAACTCGTTTTTTCTTCATTTTCGCCCAAATCAGTTTTACATTTTAATAATATACTAGTCTGCTGTCCGTGCAAAGCACGGGTTTTTTGCTACAGTAATCCCTCTCTTTTAACACGCCCTTGTTTGAATTTTCTGGGAATGCTACAGTATCCCGCCTGCGACAGCACCATTTTGAAATGCTACAGTATACCCATGCGATACAGTAACATTTCTTAATTAGTTATCTGCTACAGTAACAATGTTACAGTAAATCTACTGTAGCATTTACTGTAGCATGAACAGTAACTCTTTGGTTCTTCCTTTTGTATAAAGGAATAGATATGTGGGCCGTGAGGCTGCAAAGTACCGAAGGGAAACCATTGGCTGTAGTTCAACAGCGCGCTCACTTCATCCACACTCTCTCATGAGCTCGCGCTCCTCTCCACCACTAAAAATTTCACAAAACCCCAAAAAACCACAAAACAAAATGCAAAAATTAAAAATGAGAAGCTCCCAACAAAAACAAACACAAGCAACGGATAATTCATCCTAATAACTAACAAAAATCGAACCCCATTAGTTTAATGATCCCATTATTTCCCCTGAATCCTCAACATTGATGGCCGCTGCAGCTCCAAGCAGCAACCTAATGGGCCTATCGGCCCTCTCATTCCCTTTCCTCACCTCCGACCAACCCCTCTCAAAGCCCAGCCCGAAACTCCACCGGCCCATTAGGCGGCCCATAACGATCACACCAAAAGCCTCTATCATCTCCGACCTCGTCCTCGGCGTCGGCGTCGGCCTCCCCTGCACTGTAATGGAGTGCGGCGACATCATCTACCGCAGCACTCTCCCGCGCTCCGACGCCCTAACCCTAACCGCCCCCGGCGCCGCCCTCGCCCTCGGCGCCGCTCTCCCGCGCTCCGACGCCCTAACCCTAACCGCCCCCGGCGCCGCCCTCGCCCTCGGCGCCGCGTCCTACCTCTGGGCAACCCCCGGCGTCGCCCCTGGATTCTTCGATATGTTTGTTCTTGCTTTCATTGAACGACTATTTCGGCCTACCTATCGTAAGGATGATATTCAAATTGGGAAGAAGCTCGGCGAGGGGGCTTTTGGAGTCGTGTACAAAGTTTCTTCTGCCAAGAACAACCCTAAAGTATGGAACTTCGCTTGATTTGGTTGTGTTTGTTGTTTGCCTGCAAGGTGTTTGTTTAAATGTGTCAATGAATTGCAGCAGGGGGATTTGATCTTGAAGAAGGCCACAGAATACGGGGCGGTGGAGATTTGGATGAATGAGAGAGTTCGGAGGGCGTGTGCGAGTAGCTGTGCGGATTTTGTTTATGGGTTTCTTGAGGTTGGGTGTTGTTGTTGCTGTGTTTGTGATGGGTTTTTTGTGGTATTGGAGTTGTGATGTTTGTGATGTTGTTTTGAATCTTGTAGAGCTCTTCGAAAGGGAAAGAAGCAGGGGAGTATTGGCTCATTTGGAGGTTCGAGGGGGAGGAGACGCTTTCGGATCTCATGCTTAGCAAGGAGTTCCCTTACAATGTGAGTGGCTTTTCCTTGAACTGATCTTAAAGAGCTTGTGCTACGTATATTGCAACTTTGATCATAGTAAATGATGGTGCAAGAATGTTTTTTTTTTTTGCTGTGAATGTTAGTTTTGATCAGATATTAGAAGATATTCCATCCAAATTTTTGTTGATTGAACTAATAACTAATGGATATAATACTACATACATTTGCCAAGTACTTAAAATAGTGTATAAGGCATCAATAGATTTGTGCGCACCCATAATTAGGGTGCTAGCTCTACAATCTTTCATATAATGAGCGAATTGTTATTTCTCTTCCAGCCATTGATAGAGATCTGAACTTTTCTCTTGTTTGGCTCCTCGAGATATTCTAACTTCATGATGTCAAAGGAAACCTTATTATGAAAGACTTCGGGGTTGTTTGATTAGATGAAAATAGAGCTGCAAAAGTAAATAGAGCAACCATATTTGTAAATACATTTTTTGGTTTGCAACTCTTTGACTAGGAAAGATAAGTGGACTTTTGCATTTTGTAGAAAAAACTTGCAACAAATGCTACGGCTAATTGGTGGGAGGAAAAGCCGCAAGATTCAAAAAAGGAAATTAAAAAAAAATAATTACACCTCATTATCATAAATCTTTTTTAAATCCAAACAGAAAACCATCTACACAAAAGTTTCCTTATATGGCAAAATTATGTAACTTTTGCACTAATTGCTTTTCAACCAAACACTAAATTTGCACTGAAAATACATTGCCTACAATATAACCACAAATATCTAAACAATGAATTTATAGTTCATTTCCTGCAACAAATGCTACATGCAACACATGCTGCTGCAATTTATCATTGCACCAAACCAAATCACCCCTTAGATATGTTGTTTTTCTATGGACCCCTAATGAAGCACCTACATACTAATATATCCCAATTGAAGGAAAAAATACAGAGCAATGTTGGTAGCAATCAATCGAAGGAAAAAATGCTTTCTTAACTTGTATTCGATGTGCAATTTTTTCTTATTGTTTTCTTGTTGGTAGCAATCAATTGATAAAATACCATGCAATAGCATTGTTTTGATCTTACATGGGTGGCTGCATGCCTCATAGTATGAATACTTGACCTTTCTCTTGGTTATAGCTCAAATGCTTGAGAATTCTGGTTAGGATATGGGCTCATGAAGCCATACGAAATCAGGGATGCAACAATTCTAGAAAACTTCCGCTTTGGAGAAAGACTGAATTTTCCCATTACTGAGGCAGATAACGAGTTATCCTGTAATGCATGATGATAATATGAGACAACAGAGCCCACGCCACTTTGAAAAGCGAGTACACAACAGTCGTGCATCAAAACACATACTTTCTTGTACCTAATGCTGTTTACGTAACCACAATTACTAGACTGGAACAGCCAAAAACCATAAAAGGCAGGTATTATAATATAAAAGATTCAAGTTATATAAATCGATAGTCACTGGAACAATTCTTGTCCTTTATTAAGACCTTTATTAAGAAAGCAGGTTATAGTTATGCATCTAGAAACCAAATTAAATTGTCAACCATATCAACTTAAAATAATTTCTCATTCTGGATACACCTCTGATAGTTCTCTATTCTGTTGTAAATTTTGAGATATGTCAAAACTATTACCTAGCATGCATTCCCAAGTACTAATGTGTCTTTCTCCTATGTACTTGGCATGGTTATTTATTAACGTATCAAGTCTTTTCTAAGATATGATACAGGTACTTATAAATATACATATGCATATATTAAATGTATCCAATTTTGTAAGAGAACGATTCTCTCAAAATGAAGAATGGAAGGAAAAGTCTTATAAAGGTTTTTTGCCAAAACTACAAGTTATTATATTATAATTGACCTCAGGTAGAGACAAAAATTCTTGGAGAGGTTCAAGACTTGCCAAAGGGTCTGGAAAGGGAAAACAAGATCATCCAAACAATCATGAGACAACTTCTATTTGCTCTGGATGGCCTTCACTCTACCGGGATCGTTCATAGAGACATCAAACCCCAAAACATAATATTTTCTGAAGGTGCTATTTAACTGCTTTTAAATAAAGAAGTCTTAGTATTATGTATGATTATTCATTCGCGGTATTAAACATATTCAGGTGATCGTACTTTCAAAATCATTGATCTTGGAGCTGCAGCAGATTTGAGAGTGGGCATTAACTACGTTCCAAAAGAGTTTCTCTTGGACCCTAGGTAACTAGTGTTAGCTTTGGTCCTCTGCACTAAAATGTGTTCAGGTTGCTGAAAATGTTATTTTTCTTAGAAGCATCTCATTGTTCAAAAATGTTACAGTATGGAGCCAATGTAAAATGGACATTAAAATCTTACTATATTAGCTCATATAGCTTATATGGAATATGCATAAAAGAAGAATTAGGTGAGAACCACTATGTGACTTGTTTCATCTGCATAGTAAAGTTTTGGTACCTTACAATGTTAGTAACATGAGCTACCCATTAGTCCTTCATGTTGCTAGCAACTTTCTGATAAGAAATTTTAGCATGTCTTTCTTATGTTAGTACTTCTTGAAACCTAATATTAACAGTTTTTTTCTTTGCATTGAATTTTCATCTGTCGCATCAGAAAACAGTGTTTAAACAATGTTTGTTTAAAATCGACAGGAACATACTAATAAATTGGAAGAAATTTATAAGTATTTTCCTAAAATAATACTTATAAATTGCTTCCAATTTCTTGTGCTCCGTTTCTGCCCTTGACAACAAGAAGTTATTCGTAACTAGTCTGATGTACATCTTTCTGCAATATCATCTGGAATTTGTTTTGACTTGCACTGCCTTTTTTAATTTAACAAAATAATATTCTTTGTCTGGTAGCAATACATTCTTAGAACTGTAGACATCACCAGAATTTGTATGATTTGAATTTTCAAGTTGAACAATGTGATATTATTCACTTGTACTAAATTGTCTTAATGCAACTGAAATATAATAGCTTTGCCTGTCACTTATACAAATCAAATAAACATTCCTCCTGTAGAAATGTTCTAGTAGTAGTGAAGAATTTGATTCGAGACATTAAGCATAACAAAAAACTTTGGTTCTTAATTTTACACTTGTAAACTGTGCTAAATACTATGTATACATATCTCTCGGAGTATTCTATATTAGACCTTTTGTTTAATGATTCTTCATATTTTCTCCCAAACTTATATCTTTTGTTGTTAGGTATGCTGCTCCTGAGCAATATATCATGAGTACACAAACCCCATCTGCACCCTCTGCTCCTGTAGCAACTGCATTGTCTCCTGTCCTCTGGCAGGTTTTTCTTTTAACATGCATAGACCAAAATTTCCATTTCTTTCTATTTTTTGGAGTCCCAGGGAGTTTGTATGTTACTTATCTGAGTTTACCTAGGTTGGCTGAAATCCACCCTTTTTGCTGATTTTTCTCGTAACAGTTGAATTTGCCAGATAGATTTGACATCTACAGTATCGGACTCATATTCTTACAAATGGTAAGCAAATGGAAACTCTGGAAATTTGTTTAATGCTTCCTGAAATACTATTTGTTATTTTATATTTTTAATAAAATTGAATGATTCACCTGTAGGCATTTCCATCATTAAGAACCGATAGTGGTCTCATTCAATTCAACCGTCAGTTAAAAAGATGTGGATATGATATGATTACATGGAGGAAGACAGTCGAACCTCGAGCTACTCTAGATCTCCGAAAGGGCTTTGAGTTGTTAGATTTAGATGGAGGGATTGGTTGGGAGCTTCTAATTTCGATGGTCCGATACAAGGCTCGGCAAAGGACAAGTGCAAAAGCTGCACTTGCACATCCCTACTTCAACAGGGAAGGTTTACTAGGCCTCTCTGTCATGCAAAATTTGAGGCTTCAGCTGTTTCGTGCTACTCAAAAGGATTACAGTGAAGCTGCCAACTGGGTCATTGGGCTTATGGCGAGATCAGGGACTAAGAAGGAAGGAGGGTTCACTGAAGCCCAACTTCAAGAATTACGGGTAGGTTTAGAGCTTATTGTACTGGTTTCTTAATCAGAAGGTTGATTGCAAACACAGGCCCTAAAACTTGGACGAGACCCATTTTTTCCCCTCACAGCGCAGTTTTTTTTTTTTTTTTTGCTTTATTTATTTATTTATTTCCAGTGAACTTGAAGTCAAAACTAGGCTAGGATTGATCATGGTCCAACTTTATCCTATGTAAGTTAGGAATAAACCAACGTGCTCCAGCTTTGAAGCAGTTAAGGATCATCTTTTGGCTTAAGGAAAATTGGGCTAATATTGGTCCAGTTTTTGCCAAACATAACTTTTCTCAAAATGGGGTTAGAATCAATCATGTTGAGTTGTTGCCGAACACACACAAAAGTAATTTATTGCCACATGATGCTGATGTGATAATCAACCTAACGTGAGAAACAAGGTTGTTCAGAGTTCATGGGGTTAAGTGTTACTATAATAGTTTACGTACTGGACGTAAGAGATTATACTTTCATAATGCACTGTGTGTATTTGCAGTTAACCCTGATCAAAATGGTGAAATTTGCAGGAAATACAGCCGAGAAAGGGAAACGTGAAAAGGAACGCTCTTGCATCTGCCCTTCGTCTCCAGAGGAAGATTATAAGAACGCTGAATGAGAGCATGGACGAGCTTAACAGACAGAGGAAGAGTTTATGGTGGAGTAGGTGGATCCCCAGGCAGGAGTGATTATGGGCTCTTTGCTTTCTATGCTGTAAATTTCTGTGCAGTAAATATTGTACACTTCGGTGGTAATAGTTTGAAAGTTGTGAACATTTTAAAGATGTGAAAGAATGTATACTGTAAGAAGCTGTTAAGGATGGCTATAGTCTGGCTTCAGCTTCACATTGTGCACTACAAGAAGGCATGCTTTTAATTATTGCTATCAATCTCTTTACAACAAATAGAACTTTTTTTTTACGGAATTAAAAAGATTTTAATACATAGCTTTGAGGATAATTTGAGTATAGATACAGTCTAGATCATCACTAGCGCTGTAGAAAAATGCACATTTGTATTTGCAAGTAAGATGAGGTAATTTGTGTAGGCAAGTGATTCCCGAGCCTCAAAATATTTTGGGCAAAGAAATTGATTTGCGAGGAATACGTAACAATTGAGTGGCTAAAGCACCCCTTGTTCCCTTTTTAGGGGCAAATGGACACTCAGCTACAGCAAAAGGTCGGCCAGGGTACCAAACTATTATTTGCTGGTTTAAGGAAAAAGAGATTCTGTTAGTGATGGGATTGCATAAGCTGGTTCTCTCCTTTTTATTTTTTTGTTCGGTTATTTGCACTTAAATA